ACAGGTGGATTAATTTAATTTGAATTAGCCCATAGCAGACTGGCTATTGAAACCACACCCACTGAGCAGAGTAGTGAACCTGAGAGAGAAAGTTGTCTCTCAGTTACGTTCTTCTGCTCAGTGGGCGGGTGCAATAGCCAGCCTGCTATTGGCTTTTGCAATTTGAAATGGACGGTTGGCGCCATGGGGGGTGAATGGTCAAGGCTGCGCCCTAGGTAGGAGTGCGCCCTAGGCGGCTGCCTATTGGCAGCACCGGCCCTGCTGGCAAGGGGCCCTAAGGCAGGCGAGGTGAAACTTGTTAATATTTTGGTTATTCAAGGTGACAAAGTGGTTTACTGTCTTATCTTGCAGCATGAATTACGATACCATCAGAGGCAGTATCAGTATGTATTTCAGGTTTTCGTGGCTTTCCTCTGGGTACTCTGGTTTTTCTCACAGCTCTAAAAATGCTTCTAGATTCTCTTCCAACTAAATGTATATCAGTATTGCAATCGTACTACATTTGTACTAATGACATTAGGTTGCTAGGTTCTGTAAGACTGGGTGTGATTTCAATTGTCCTGCTGCAAGTACACTGTAAAGTGCTCTGATACATGTCAGCACTATATAAATGCAGGAATTAATACTGATAACTTCCTCTAGTCTCTTCCTCTGCTGACTGTTATCAGTTTGCATTGTTCCTGTCCATCTATGTGTAATACCTCCCCCTTTGTTTTTAAATAAATTAGATTGGGAAGCGTTCTGTATTCCTAATACAATTAATTTATAGATACAGTACAGTAAATGATCAGTGTCACCCTAGGACAGGAAGTGTGTTAATGGCAAAATCACCAAGTTAAAATTTAGGGAATAAAGCATAAAAAAGAAAACCAATGCAGCCACCACATCTAAGCACTGGTGATAAGCAATATATTACATTTAACACATTATATATGCACTATAGCTGTAAAATAACTGAAGGGCTGCTGTACGGGATATTCACAATAGCCATACAGCAGCTGAACACATATGCTTTGGCTCGGCTGAGCAGATGTCACAGCTGAAGCGGGGAGAATGGTCTGCCGAAGCAGTTGAACGTGTTCTTCAATTCGGCTGAACCGAAGCCAGCTGATGTACGGCTGATTTTAGCCAAAGTATGGCTGAAATCAGCCTACAGGGCCGAAGTGAATAGCTGAACAGCACTCGGCTCACTTCACTTCGCCTCGGTTATCCACGTGGCTGCCTTCGGCAGCCGAGTGAATAGTCCCCGTAGTTAGTGATGTCCGAAATCCTTATCTGCATGTTAGTTTCAGGTTAGTAGCTCAAAAAGTATTGTAGTCAGAGACAGCCAGACAACTTGCATTTGAAGGTTAGCAATGACAGCCGCCACATTTCTCTCCTGGCAGCTTTTTTTTAGGACTTATTCAGTTGTTGGGGTGCCTTAACTACATGCATTGCAATAAGACAGTCGCTTAATTTTGAGGCACCTCAGTACATGAAAAATGCACTATTTAAAAAGTATATGTTTTCAGAAACGGCGATTTCTTTGTCAGCAAACAGGGCTGAGTGGCATTGTGTCAGTATATTGAGAAAGTACATCCTGTGGGCATTTTCAATAAGTACGTTTGCAAACTTCTAGATTGATTTGGTTATTTGGAGTGCGATAGAACTTATGGAAATTCAGTATAGAAAAACATATTTATTTTAGTTTATGACCATAGATACCCTTTAACATTTCTGTCAGGGGTTTATTTTTGGAGAGACTTTCCTTTTCTTCCTGTCCCTCTGACACCGACAGCAATAGAAACATTGCCAAAAGTTCAAACTCTCCCGCTATAAACATGTGTTTTTTGTTTTCGTCTGTGTCCCTACTGGAGAGAGTTTCCATCAGTTCTTGTCCTATTAGGAAGTGAGGGAAAATCTCTAAATAGGGACAAAAATGGAAATAACAAACCTGATAGAGGCTCTGGCCCTTCCCTGCTCTAAAATTAAACAAACAGTTTCAAAGTTAAATAAAATAAACATAAAAACTCTCCCAAAAACAAATTTTAAGTCCCCATTGCGGCATATTCATGGGGTAGTGGTTAGCATGTTCTCCCTTTGCTTGCATTGGTTTCCTCCCACACTCCAAAGACATGCTGAAAGGTTAACTGACTCTTATCTAAGTTGTCCCTTTTATGTATGCATGTGAGATGGGGACCTTAGATTGTAAGCTCCTTGAGGGCAAGGGACTGATATGAATGTGCGCTATGTAAAGTGCTGCGTAAATTGTCAGTGCTATATAACTGCCTGTACCCAATACCTGTATTACCTGTATACCTGTAAATACCTGTAACCAATAAAATAATAAATACTAATGCAGCAAGCTAATACAATGCAGCATAAAAACATTGCAGCTGCCATTTTATACAACATGGTCTCTACTTTAACCTCTTGCCGTCCGCCCGTAGTAAAAAAACGGACGGACGGCACTGCAGCATCTGCGGGTTGCCGTCTCCAGACGGCAGTATAATTCTGAGGGTTTTAAGTAATCCTCAGGCCTTAAATGTGCATTTTAAAATGTGTGCAAAAACGGCTGAAAGCAAAAGGTTCAGTTTTAGTGAACACTAGCACTATACTTCTAGCCCCAAGGTCTCTCTGCTGGAATACCAGTGTAGAGGTTAGTGAATTTAGCAGCCCCTCATTTAAATATTATCCTTTTGTTTAATAGCCACCAGAATGTTTTATTTATGTATTTAATCATTTTGATTTTGCTGTATTTTATATCTTAAAAAAAGGAATCACATCAGCTACAAATGGATGGGAAATCAAAGTGTCAGAAGGTGGGGAGTGAGTGGACTGTACACAGCGTCTGCAGAGATTGATAGATATTTGCAGAGAACACCAATAAATCTCTGTTGCTGCATGCAGGCAGTTCTGCTGTAACAGAGTCCTGGCCTCCGGTAGCAGCCTCCCCAAACACTGGCAGACTGAAGGTGCACAATTGATCTGTACTTCTTCTTCTCAGTTGTCACAGGAAATAATGGTTATTGTTCTGTCCTGGGAAAGATAAATGGCTCCAGGCTAAAAAGAGAGTTAATGGAGTCCCAGGGAGAGAACACTTCATGTTTATGTGAGAGAAATATCTCTTCCATACTATAATAGTGTTGGGTGATCAGCAGGCAGTTCAACCATGCCTAGAATGGAGACGTGGGAGTGTATAGCAAGTGAAAAGTAGCTCAGTACTCCCAGGATATTCTTCCCCTTTTCAGATTTTCAGATTTGTGGCAAGCAAACCTCCAGAGAGTATAGACTGCTGGGGAATGGGGCTACTCCCAGTGGTAAAATTAAGGGGGCAGTAGATGTAGCTACCCAGGCCATAGAGGAGAAGGGGTCTAATGTCCCAGTGGATTAAAAAAGAAACAATTATAGGAATTGCCTTTGATGTCTGATGTTAACACCTTAAACTCTCAGGGGTTTTTGTTGCATATATCTACTGCTAGCGAGCAGTAGATATATGCAACAACATTAAAAAAAATTAAAAAAGTTACCACAAAGGTAATTACTTCTGTCACTGCCGCTCACTTCTTTCTAAAGATCTAGAGCTTCTCGAGCAGCGCTCAGTGGAGGGACAGACAGGAAAGGGGTCGGGCACAGCTGGCTGAGAGAGGCAAGCCAGCTGTCAATCAGAGCTAGCTGTCAATCGGGTAGCTCTGCGCCGTCAGCATCCCGCTATATGTTTAGAAACCATGAACGCCTATCAACTCACGTTTAAAACCCATTAATGAATCCTTGCCAAACACCCTTTCTGTGTTGGTTTTGGATTTTTTTAAAGGGGGCGTGGTACTGGATGGCACCATTGTTATTGGCTGTCTAGGCACTGTGTTCTAGCTGACACTGGTACTGGATATCACCAGTAACAGCTGGCACTGTTATGGGCTCAAAAATTGTGGAACCAGCACACTGTTATGGGCTGTACAGGCATTTCTGGGTGGCACGTACTGAATGCCACTAGTACTGGGTTTACATACATGTATTCAATGCCATGGTTCTGGAAGACACTGATACTGTTGGTACTGGATAGCACTTTGTACTGGCCGCTGGAGGCGTTCTTTACTCTGTTCTATGACTTTCCAGGGTTTTCTGGGATACCTTTTACCGCCATTGCCTTTCCCCCAAAAACGCAGCTTTACTGCTATAGACACGTTGACTTTTTGTTGAGCCATAAAGTGCTGGGTACCATATAACTTTCTTGAAGCTTTAAAAACATGACCCAACCGCACATTTTACTGCGTGTGTACACAAAGCCAAAAAATACTTTTTTGTTACTGAATGTGCCACTATCATACCATTCATGTGTCCCACAAAAGTGACAGTGATAGTACTTGAGACATGCTGTAACCCAATCAGGGGTGCTTGATTAGACTACGCGAAGAAAAGATTATCGTACATCCCTCTTCCCCCAGCATTGTTGTAATTTGCACCAGCCCATCACTGTTACTTTCTTTGGCCAAACAGACTTGCCTGTACATATAAAGACATGCAAAATTAGAAAATAAATCGATGTACCGAGTACTTACCATTGCATGTACATATACACTGATACACATACACTGTTAACAGAATACAATGTTTTTCACAGTAGTGCTCCTTTAATAAGATGAGAATGCTTGCACAAAATCATTGCCGGTCATTTTTGCAGACACAGTAAGGTTGACTTACTAAAGGAGTAGAAAGTTCACTTATCCCAATAAAAGCTGTGTTCATCTCCAATACACAATCAAGTGCATGGGAATGTAAAAAAAACAATAGGAATTTCACCTTTTGCAGGATTGGACGTTTGAAGTAAACAGAGGTGTGCTGTGTTGCCCCATGTCAGTCTGAAACACTGGAATATTATTTAGGGAAAACAATAGACACTGTAAAGGCTGTAAAAACGAAGAAAGAACATAGATCATATATCATTTTAAATGATTTAATTGTTCTGCTTTATAGTAAGGAGTCATATCTAAATGAACCATTTTTTCTGTTTCCTTCTGCAGGCTTTTTGACCTCAGTATGAAGATTTGTATGAAAGAATGAGAATACAATGACACCGCACACAACTCAAGTGCATCCTGCTCCTAGATATTTTGGTTTTTCTGGTGATATGTCAAGGTGATATTTTCCGAACTGTGATTTTCTCCCTTTTGGGAGGGGGCTTAGAGGTGGATTCTGCCTCCAGGTCCTTCATTGCGATTATTAAACTAGTGACATCATGCAGAAGCTCACATGAAGAGGACACCACTAAGCTGAGATGGTTTTGCACACTTCCCCCTTTCCCAGTAGCTTCCTCTCATTCCTCAACTCCCTGTCCTGGGCATTGATTTTCCCTTGTTTCTGGTTCGGAGATCGTCTCCTGGCCTCCTTCTTACCTACCACCTATGAAAAACGTCAGAGATCTGATGACCCTTGTTATTTCCAAGCACTTTGCATTATCATCACTACTCCAATTTACTTGGCCTTGCTAGTTTCCTCTCTTCCCTTTGCCCTCATTGGTTTCCTGGTATGGTCGCCTATTCAAGCCGCCCGTAGACCTTACATCTATTCCCGCCTGCATGATAAGGCCAGGGCTAGTGGAGCCAACTTACTGACTGAATGGAGAGCCACAGGAAGTACTAAGAGTTTCTGCTTTGGATCTGCAAATGTCTGCTTGTTGCCTGATTCACTTGCAAGGTTTACAAACCTTTTTAACACTCAGGCACGGGCTAAGGAGATTGGCAGAAGAATACGAAATGGGGCCAGTCGACCTCAGATCAAGATTTACATAGATTCTCCCACCAACACCTCAATCAGTGCTGCAAGCTTCAGTAGTCTTGTGTCTCCGCAAGGGACAGACGTTACCCACCGAGCAGTCAACATGGGCATGAAGAGAACAACATCCATGGAATACAAAGGAGATAATTCTGGGGAAAACAGCAGTGAAGAGGGTCGGGATGGGAAGAATGGTGGGGACATGGGGGATGGGGAAGATAGTCCATGTATTATCCGCATCAGTGGGGATGACAGCGGTCACATATCGGACACTGATCCTGATGCCATGGTTGGACACGTGAATGTGGCATGCTTGGCCGAAACAGAGCCAGACTTCCAGAAAAGCCCAACCCCTAACCACAAGCACAGGGAGGGGGATGGTGGGAGCCTGGACAGCTGTAACACCTCTCGTGAGTCTCTAGTCAAGGCCAGGATGGCAGATGGAACTACTGACCAAAGTGGCATTAACAAACTTCTTTACAAGGCATCCATCATTAAGAAAGCTGCAGCCCGCAAAAAAAAGCATACGGACGATATCTTAGACCATGAAATATCTGCCTTCTTCCCAGCCAACCTGGACTTCCTGTGCCTGCAGGAAGTGTTCGACAAACGAGCTGCAGAGAAGTTGAAAGAACAACTACACTACTATTTTGAATACATTCTGTATGACGTGGGGGTATATAGCTGCCATGGCTGCTGTGGCTTTAAGTTCCTAAACAGTGGGCTCATGATCGCTAGCCGATACCCCATACTGGACGCTACCTATCACTGTTATCCCAATGGGAGAGGAATAGATGCGCTGGCCGCCAAGGGAGCTCTGTTTGTCAAGGTAAGCCACTGGTATGTTTTATGTGAACTGCATAGTTTATACTGGGCTTCATCCTTGAAATTACATAAGAGAAGAATGTCGGCAATGCCCACTAGATTTTCAAAGCCAGATATGTGACGTTTAGTGCCTCTAAAGCAAATGTGTTTATTTAAAACCCTAAAGTGTAGTGAGATGTGTAATAGAGGCACCAAAAGGTGCCTGCATGTATATTGACATACCCTTTAAAGTTCCTACAGTTGGTGTTGGCCTAGCATTTCCCACCTTGCATAATTCATTATTGGTCAATCCTTGTAACTGATATTCTCGTTGAATAATAGTAAAGTGCAGGAGGTGGAAGAAGAGATAGCAAAGTGTAGCAGTAATGTTACAACCTTTAAAGATAATTTCCAGGCAAACATCTAAACACAGATTACATTTTCTCCAGGACTTAGAGTTACACGGCCTTGCCATAAAAACAGACAGTCAGAGGACATGAAATACACTGCTGACACCAACCTGCCTACAGCCTTTTGTTGGACAGTAAAGGAGCCTCAGGTGACTGCTGATGTCATCTCTATGCTCTCTCTCCTTTCTCCTCCTATCAGCATGTTAATATTCAGCATATTTGCAATCAGCTCACCAGATTAGCTGCCAGGGATGCTACTTCCCCTCCCAGCCTGAGTACTGCTGTACGGGGACCAATTGTGGACACAGGACATCATACACACGTCCAAAGAAACATCATGGAAGTACACAGGACATGTGTAGTATGTCCTATCCCTTCATCCCCACTGTAGCTCCCAGCCTCCCACCACCCCTTGCACTAGACAGCAATTCCCAACTGTCAAAATGTCATCTGTTAGTTACTTTTTTAATACAACAGCTGTAATACTGTAGCTTATGCTGTCAATAAATAGACTGTCTATAAACAGTATGTAATGTGGAGATAGAGATACAGAATAACATTGTTACGTTTGTGTTTAGTCTGCTTCATGTATCTGCAGATCAAATGGATGAGCGTCAATCTGCATATCATGTCAGTTAATGCAACCTAAAAATAAAAAAAAACATTTTTAATACAATATGTTTCCGCTTAACCCCTTATTTACTCTTAATCAAATCCCTCTTTCCCTTCTCACCTTAACTATTATTTTCCTGCTTTTTTTTATTTCTACTTTTTCTAACCATTATTATTTAAACTTTTTTTGTTTTTATTTGTTTTGTTTGTTAGTTTTTTA